AAGATTTGGAGCCACATGGGTGTTTTATGGCAGTTCTTTTGTTCTTTCAGGAGCTGAAGATCACTGTCAAGATTTAAGAAGGCAAATTTTGGTCTTTGATTTTCAAGTTCTGATACTCTGCTTCAAAAAATGTATTTCAGTTTTAAAAAAGCAGGCCTGTCAAATGAGTAGTGGTCAACAGCTGAGCAACCCTAAAATAACAGATTTGGAGCCACATGGGTGTTTTATGGCAGTTCTTTTGTTCTTTCAGGAGCTGAAGATCACTGTCAAGATTTAAGAAGGCAAATTTTGGTCTTTGATTTTCAAGTTCTGATACTCTGCTTCAAAAAATGTATTTCAGTTTTAAAAAAGCAGGCCTGTCAAATGAGTAGTGGTCAACAGCTGAGCAACCCTAAAATAACAGAATGAGGGGTTTTGAGTAAGAAGGTTTCAATATGCTTAAATATATTGAATGAGGAAATAATCTGGAAGTTCAAATTTCTTAAGTTCCAGTTCAAAAAAGAATTCAAGGTATGAGCACATGAACAAGCTTTCACAAAGTTAGGCACGATTTGGATTCAGAGAGTCTTGGAGATAACTGCATGCTCATCTGTTATACCTCTAGTAGGTATCAGAGAAGTAAACTACCACAGCGGAGGAGCATGGACATAATTTCCATGGAACAACTAACAAACTATACCTCACACTCCTGGTGGTAATTTACTCATTTCCTAACAACACATTTAAGTGTCTTTCAATGAATGTTTCAGAGCTCTGTTGAACAGGGATGGAATTTTGTATTTGCTTAAGTACATGTTTGAATATTTTTCTGAGCTGAGTCTTTTGGGGATTTCTGGAAACACAGTGAAAGAAAACATTACTTAAATGATCATAAAACATATCTTACTAAGGATCTTCAGGGACTTTCCCAGATAGGTTGCCTTAGTCTGTGTGTTAAAGAAGGGAATCATCTTTGGGAATCATCTTTTTATTACTGCATCTACTTTATATGGGAGTTTCAGAATTTTATCTCAGTTTATATGTGTCTCCCGCAGGATAAATATTTGATCCATTCATACTTTTTCCTGACAGGACAGGCACATCACTGAATTTAAAAATCTTTGCAATAGTTTTAATTCTTTGAAATATTGAGTTGGGGAAATTACTCTAAGTGACATAAATTAATGCCATATTTCTGCTGTAATTATCCTCTATGAAGCCATTAAGTTACATTGCCAGCCTTCCAGTGATTCATCTTCTCCACCTGAGAGGCCTGGGAGTTTGATTTATTTCCTGCAATGAACTTTCTATATGCTCACATAGGCAATAGATCATACTAGAGTAAACTGCTGAACTACTTTTAGTTCTGTCAATTTTTCAGTGGGTTTTTCTTGTGAGGGAAGAAAAACAGATTTCAAACTGTTGTTCATTTAAACATCTGCATCTTCTGTTTTACATAAGTTTTCCTTCTGGCTCAACTCTTGATTTGCAGCTGTACACGAGGAAGAGGGAAGGCAAAAGCTCCATTTCAAACTTCACTTGATCTTGACGGTAAGGGAACCCCTAGAAAGAAAAGCATTTGGTCTTGAATCTCTTCTTGAGTGAAGAGGGGATCCAACCCAGGTGTCCTAGTTCTGGGAGAAGTTAATGGACAGAAGAGTATTATAGCTGTTTGTTTCTATTTCTCTGACCTTGGCTATATCTTCTGCTGTACTTGATCCTATCAGCATGCTGCCAACAAAATCCTAGCACAGATACCGGATTGATCGTCTAGGAGGTCATAGGTGTGCAGACTTCAGTTTTGTTTTTATCTCAAGCGGGCTTAGACAAGAGACAAACACATTAATGTTCAACTGAACAGCAACAGTGGAAGAAAATTTTTTGCCTATATATTTGTTATGAACAAATACAAGGCCATGGTTTCTCAGGCACCTAAGCAGGTTATGCTGCATTTTGGATTGATATCCCAGACCTAGGTCCCTAGATGCTCCCTTTATAGTACCTTAATTCAATAGCACTGGGTCTTACATGTAGAGTTTGGCAGTCCAAAATAAGAACTCATGTTTAGTGTCCTCAGGTCTGACCTCTGGAGGCTTGACCCTAATCTTTTTGAAAGCCTTAATTTGGTTTCATTTAGAGCTGGGTCAGGCTAGGTCTGCAGAATTGGTAGGCTACATCTTGCATATATCGACTGTCTATATATATCTGAGATATAGGTAGAAACTATCAGTTCCAAAGAGGATCTCGGTCATTTGGTTTTGGAAAGCAAGAAAGCTATTTTAGAATACTGCTGTAGTGTGGGAAACAGAAGGAATTAATCTCACATAACTATCTGTAACCTGGGTTCAAAGTATAGCCACTGGAGAACAGGTCAATTAGTGGATCTCAAGGTGCCTTCTATCTGAATAAATCTAAGAGACTGCTGTGCAGTGAGACGAATTGTATCCTAAACTACACAGCTCTCTTGATAAGTCCTCTTGACTCCCTTCACTAGTTCTCCATGAACATATTGTCCAGCTTTTCCCTGGCTTTATTGACTACCTCTCCCTTGGCTTTCGGTGTATTTTCACAGACAGAAGCTGCTCTCAAGACATCGTTGCCTTGTGTCTCTGCTTGGTAGCCTTGGGACTTTCAGCAAGTCCTGAGACTCTTCCCACAAAATTTTTAGTCACACAGGATGAAATCTGTGGCTCCTGCTCCAATCTTTGTTTCTTCCCTTCATAATACAGTTTGTTTTTACTGGCTACATTGTTCCTTTTTTCAAAAGCAAGCTTTACTTCTGGGTGAGCTTGCTGGAGAGGATGAGACTTTTTTTGGGAAGCTCCACTGTGTCCTGTATTCAACTCACACACAAAACTCTGACAAAGCTTGTGGAGCGAAATGCTGACCCAAGTGTAAGATAACATTTCATACCAGTAGTACATCATCAGGACAGTGTCAAAGCTAATATTATCACATGGAAGCTCTCAAGGGAAGTTAATGTGTAATCCACCTTATTTCAGTTCATTAGGGAACAGAATTTCCATTTTGATATTTTTCACATCTTATTTCAAAATGTTTTGTAATATAATTTGGTACTATGAAAAAGTATCATCTTATGCATATATATCTTACTTATAGCAGTTCAGACAAGTTCCAAAAGAAAAACACTCTGTTAACTGCAGCCTCGTTTTCTGTTTGTTATCTGTTTAACCCATTGTGTTTTCTGGAATCCTACACTGCAAGTCTCATTAATTTTGAGAGTTCTGAGAGTAGGAGCTGTACATATAAACCATAGCTGCATTACTGTAAATTATTCTGAGTCTTGCGTGCTGTTTTCAAAATCTTATACCTTGGTCATACTTCTGTGTTAGCTTGATTAATTTTAGTAGGTGATAGGCAAGAAAGTTTGAAGTAAACTGCATGTTATTCTGTCCTGATACTTTAAAGCAGTCGTTGTCCCAGCAAGTTTGTTTGGATGAACAGAAAGGAATAATGTTTATGCAAATATTGTCTTTAAAACACCATGAGATTTAATGTATATGAAACTCTATTGTCACAGATGAATTAGGGCATTAAAAATCAAAACATTCTTGTAAAAGATAACATTTAAAATTAAGCAGGCTGAAGCATACAGGAGTACAGTTCTGCACTTAAATCTTTTTCAGTTTGACACCTGTACCTCATATGTTATTTATACCTTTTCCCTCAACATGACCAACATTTCCCAAATATACTCTGACGTATGCCTACTTTTTTCCAAAAAAACTTATTTCCTTTGGAACAAAAACATTTTCATTTATCCTGTTTTCTCAAGGTGTTTTCTACAAACATCAGTACTATGAGGAAGATGTAGTCACAGTTTTCACATAAACTACCCAGTGCATCTTTGGTGTCTCTTTGGTGCAAATATTTTGGACTCTGTCCATCAGCTGCAAGCATGGCCAGAGTTAAGAAATACCAGTTCTGACACAGACTGATTCTCAGGCTTGTCCTGCTATGTCCATGTATCCTCTCCTGCCATTATCTCAGTGTGGTTTCTTTTTCTCGTTGGCTACATACCTATTAGCTTATGGTGAAACTTTCTAGAGTGAAAGCTTTAGTTAAGTTAATAGGCTCAAACCACAGATCTGAATTCAGATCTGTATGGGTTTAGAATTTGCTCTTCTAAAGCTGAATTTGAATAGCCTGAAATTGAGGAGAATTTCAGGTAGGTTGAGATATAGTCCATTCAGATTCAGGGAGTAGATCTGGCTGACCTACTGAAAAATGAGGAAAGAAAAGCTATGTTGATGTTTTCACTTCTATTTCCACCTTACACCCTTAAATTTGTCTTGCTGTAGGGCACAAGTGTACAAATAGCATTGCACCCTACCCAAAGAGAAGAGGCATAGGTGACGTATAGCAAAATCTGAAACTTCATGTTTTCAATAAGACAAAACCTATGTTTACAGAAGGCTTAATGAGCAGAGTATGGCTTACCTCCATTCAGCCACCTGGAAGTGCAGAAGTCTCCCTGGAGCACCCTGATAGTCCACTTTCAAAGATTTTTTTCTGTGAGACATTATAATTAAATCACTGTAGTGTACTGGCATGTATACAACTAAATTACTAGGAATTTTAATTACTTAATTCAAAGCCTCAAGTTTAACCATTCTCCTTATAGCAAAAAGGCAAGGGAAAGCCGAATGAAGAGAGGAGAGGTTTGCAGGAGCAGTGGAGTTACTTTTATTTTGCATGGGTTTGATCTTTGGGAAAAGAGACACAGAAATACAATGACTGGCACAAACGGGGACAAAAAAACTTGACTTGTGAAGTGCTGAGTGCTTTCTTCTCACTGCAGTAAAACAATTTACTGCATTTCCCAACCATGTCGGTTCCTTGATTGACTTCAGGTCCCAGATTTAAGCAAGAAAAAGGAATAAGTTTAGAAAAATATAATGGAAGTTGGACTAGAAAAAATTATGGGTTTTAACAGTTTATTCAAAGGAATTGAACTGTCTATTCAGTGTACGCATTTAACAATACTTGATTAAAGGTCACATTTGCAAGAAGAAAGTTTATAGTGTATGCCAAATTACATGTTTTTAAACAAGTTTGGATCATAAACCACCTTTTCGTCTGCTTTACATTTTAAAGGACTTCCATGAAAACAGTAGATCAGTTCTTTTGCTTTTTTAGAAACCAATGAGATTCTTAGCTGCAGTTGATCTACTATTAATTAAAATGGGGGGCATCTCGCATTTCTGTAATTATTATATCCTGACTTACTCAAGAAAACAGGCTGCATTATTGCACTCACTTTAGAGTCTATGACCCTCAGTATAGTGTGAGTTTAAAAGACATACATCAGTGGCATCAGGCTCATACATCAGTGGCATCAGGATCCTACAGGCTGAATAGATTTGCTCTGAAAGAAACTTTAAGGAACAACTGAGTCCCGAAAGAAAAGACATTCCTGCCACTCATACTCTATATAGACAGATAGAGGCACTGGCAATGGTTTCCCTGGCTTGTTTCTTCAACAGCAGTTTCTCAGCAAGAAACCATGAGAAGCAATGGCAGACCTATGGAACATGAACAAATCTTTGCTTTCTCTGGGTTTTTTTCTAGACTAATTGTCTCAGATTTATGACAACTGATTTTTCCTAGTCTTAACTGTTTACACATTTACTTTTATTAGCAGTGGTATTGTGTTGAGGTTTAATGCTGGGTTCTCTTTTTTTTCTTCCCAGGGTGATACCAATGGTCATTCAGTTTTCTATTCTGATTATGCTGCACTCTGCTCTTGTGCTAATCACTACGGCAGAGGATTACAAATGTTTACCCCTAATGCTCCGGAAAACTTGCTGCTGGATTAATGAGACCTACCTGGCCAGGAATGTCATTATATTTGCATCCATTCTGATTAATTTTCTTGGAGCCATCATCAATATTGTAAGCTTATAGGGAACCAAGGAATATTATACAGGAAAAGATGATTTATGAATTATTAAGCTTGCTACAGGACTTGCTAACGAATGTGTTTATAAGCCAGCTGCGTTTTAAATATAAAAGGCGAAGTACCACAGCTTCAGGAAATTCAGTCTGTTGCTTAAACTATATATTTCTGAAATATCTAATTACTTCTTCCTCATAAGTATAATCTATTTTTAAAATCCTTTAATATATCTACTGTTCAATATATCTACCCTTTGAGGACCATTTGTAATTTTCTGACATGATGATATACTTTCTTAAAAACTGTCAATCCAAGTAATGCTTATAGATAGCAAATTCCTCATCTCACAGTTCTCTCATTAATTAGATTACTAAAAAAATGAGAAGTGTCAACGAACCCAGAAAATACCTTCAAAGAAAGGACGAAGCAGGTCAAGCTGAGCCAGTAACCATAGCATGTAAAAAGAAGTTAAAAAGCATAAATTCTTATTGCTCCTTTAGTGGTTTGACAAACCCCTTCAGCCTGGATTCACCTTAACTGAAGTACCAAACTGTGGGCATAATCACTCTCAGCTTTCGTTACAGTCAGTGCAGAAAACCAGGTATCCCCAAAGATTTCTTTTGATCATACTGGACCCAAGAAAGAGATTTTTCTCTCTCCACTGCCCCCACAGGGAGTTTAGTCTCATTTGGCTCCTAATTTATACGTCTCCACCAAGACTCCAAAGTGTGACAAATCTAGAGCAAAGTTTATCAGTATATCTGCGAGGAAAGGCACGTACCAAGCTTTGCTTAGCAGCTGTGGTTAGATAAAAATATTGGTAATTGAATACTGTGGGCCTAGCTCTATACAATGTCACAGGGTAAAAGAGTGGGGTCTTGTATGCCAATACAATAGAGCCCTGGTTATCTGGATGCCTTCAGAAATAGGAGACAGCTTTGCATGAATTAGGCACATTATCATGTCAGACAACGTGGCAGGTGTTGAAGCCTGAGCCAAGAAGAAGGTAAGTATCTCACTGATAGATTAGAAGTAACATTTTCATCACTCTCTCCTCTCATAGAGCACCTTTTGGCTGTGGATGTAGCAGTGCTTTTTCATCAGAATTTTATTCTTTTTAAATACTTATTTCCTTCTAAATGAGATCAGTAAAACATTTAGTGACAGTAATAACAATAGCAACTATAACAACACAACAGCAACAATGATTATCCTGTAATAATTAATAATAATTACGATTATTGTATCATTGGAGTAAGTATGCTGAAGTCTGACACTTCAAGGGTTTGCCTCATCTTTTGCTAACAGATATGAGATTTTCTTACATTCTATTGCTGTCATTCTTCCATGATTGAATTCAGGTTGCCAATATGCGAGGACTCAGCATCTGTCTGGGTTATTTAGTGATACCATGCAGGCACTGATAGGAGAGTTAGTTGGAGAAAGAAGAAGGTAGCCACTGATTTCTATCCTTACAGAGAAAATACAAATACAGTAAATGACAGGAAGTTCAATAGGGCTGAAAACTTCCTGAAGATAAGGACAGTGGTACGTTATAGTACAGATCACTAAGGAGTGTTGTAGAATTGAGGGGTTTTTAAATCATGTTTGACAAATGCCTGTCAGGAAAGATTTTGGTAGAATTAATCTTGGTCTTGAAACAAGACCAATTTGCTATGGATATGATGATTTTTCCCTGACTTGTTGGGGATTATTTTTTAAGATTGTGTCCACTGAAATCTTGTGAGATGGCTAATCCAAAAACAGTCAAAAGAAATATAATTCTTTTTATAGTCATACCAGTGGGTTTCCATAAAGCAGTAAACAGTTATAGTTATTGTCATATATTTAGAATGGCAATGACCTGAGTCACCAAGTCCTGACCTCTGCAAGAAATCACAACATTCATATAACCTCATTATTTCATATGTCAAAATTCTGCCATAATAATAGTTTGCTCAGGAGGGACCTGCCTGCGTTTAAGAACAGGTAACGCAGCTCAGCCTTGCAGCTATATACTTCCACTGTGTTCAGATGCACCCAGTTGGAGGGGACTAAGACTCAGATGCTTTCTAACAAGAGCCAAAAAGCTTTGGTTTCACCAGGGGGGCAAATGAGTCTTGTGGTTCTTTACATCAAGTGCATTCTTATTGTTATAAAATCAGAATAAAGTTTCTGATGCTGAAGGTCTTTTAAAAAGACACCCAGAGTGGTTTTCATGGCACTCTGCCCTGCAGAGAGATACTGTACACCTCATATGTTTTCAGAAGGTACCATTAACTATCTGTTGTCACGGAAGACTGCACAGACAACCTAGATAATGTTGCTGCATTGCAGAGGTGACTGAATTGCTGAAAGAACAAACGAGAGAGTTCCATGTTCAAAATTCATTAGAATTTAATTATAAGAAATAGGGCCTCATTAAACAAACTCTCTAACTCTGTTGGAAAGAAAGACAGGGGAACTGGCTTGTACAAACCAGGTTGATGAAATGACCTAGTATAAACATCCAGATTGGATTAATATATGTAACAGGAGACTCCATCTGCTTTAACTGTCAAAATATGAAACCATTAATGATTTTTTTCCTGTGTTCTAAGACCATGATGTCTTGCAACTCAACACTGCTGTTTTGTTTATAGTTAATACACTTGGTTTGAAATACCATTAAAATGAATGCAGTTCATAACAGCAAAAGACAGTATTACATTCTCAAAACCATTGTATCATGAATGAATTTTCATTCCCTTCCATTCTAGGCATCACAGTTGCAGTTCTGGGACCACATTATGTTTTGGCACAAGCCAATTCTGCATGAGGCTGTGGGAGTTTGTCCCACATCTAGAAGGATAACACTGTCCATAGCAACATAGCAGAAAAAAATCTGCTTGCAGACAAATGCACAATGCAGTCTGATTTTATGCTCCCAATTTAATAATTTTCTCTATAGTTTATAACAAAGTATAAACATTTTGAGAGGGTAATTCTTAAAAGTCCAACATCAGTCCTCTGAAACTCCCGCAGAAGCTCATCTTTCACCTTTGGCAACAAGAGAGCATAGGAAGGCTACTCAGATGCTGAATGTCTATAGTGTGAATAGCTCCCCCCTTTCCATTTCACCTCCACAGTATGTCTTCTTACTGTCCATTTAGTCCTTAGTGCCAGTTAGGGAGCTGGCATGGAGAGCAGCAGGTCAGCCAGTTCCACCCCTGAACCCAGCCAGCCAGCCACACGAGCACTTAGTCACCAGTGCACAATATAGCCCTGATTTTGTTTTCTTTCTTCACAGCTATGGTGTGATTTTGACAAACCAGTCACCCTGAAGAACCAGACGTTCAATTCATCTGCATCTTTTACGGACATCTGTTCCTATCCAGAGGTATTTCTGAGGGTACTTTTGAATCTGAGGCACAGATCCTCAAAGGTTACGTGGCAACCACTCCCTGGAATCAATGACCTGTGTACTGGTGGCGGAGCCAGGTGCCTCAACAACACTGTGAAGCTAAACCTTAGCATCTATCCATATGCTGATAGAAAAAGCAGAGGCGGGTTATAGAAGAAATTAATCTTATAGCCTAATGGGGTTTTACAACCAAGTTTCAACCTTTGAACTTCATACAGAACCTTTATGCTGGAAACATATCCAGCAATGATTCAATGAACCTAGTGCAATAAAACTCACTACTTAATTCATATGAAGCTAATGGAGACTAATACTTCTTACATAGCAAAACCAGCAGTCATTCTGCTGTAGTTATTTTAAATTTGCATTTGGAGCAAAAAAAAATCCTCTCTATGATGAGCAAGCAGGCAACAAAATCAATGGGTTGGTCATGTGTAGGTAAAAGAAGTATGTTAGTTAGAAAGTCATAAGGCGCTGTCATGATGCTGCCAGCAGTATGCCGGAAACTGTGGGGATGCAGACTTTCCTACACAGGAACTGTATAAAGAAAACTGTACTCAGAAAAATGAATGCTATCTCTCCTAAAGCTGTATGATAGAAGTTAATTTAAACTACATTTGGACTGTGGGTGTTGACATTGCTATTTTAAATCTGAATAGCTCATGGTCATGATTGTCTCTCTATATGCAGCATCAGCTGCATGGATTGCATTTGACAGATGACTAATCATTCAGAAAAATGAGACAATGAAGAGATTAGAAAATGAGATATGAATAAAACTTCCAGGCATCACATTTTAAGAAAGTAATGTAACTAAGCTAGACCTGCAATATTAAAAATAAAAAAATGAAAAAATAAAAAAACCCCAACAAAACCTGTGGCTTTATCCTCTCTTCAAGTAGCATGGGAAAAAGATTAAAGCAGGAATATGATTCTCCGATCCTGATTAATGTGGGTCTTGTGGAAGTTCAGAATCCAGAGGAATATAAATTATTTTCTCTCAATTGACTTTTCATTAGCAAACTACTACATCCCTCCCTTTCCTCTTTTCACTATACAGGATGCCCTTTCCCTTCTAGTACAATGAAAGTGCCATAAAGGCTCAGAGGAGGATTTCTGCTAACGTGGAGGTGCCGTGCAAAATGGAGAACTTGTAATTTCACATTCTATTTTAGCAAAATCCTTATTTTCAAAGTGCCCTGCACCCTAAGAAGACTTATCTGAGCACTGAAATCCAGAGCAATGTTTTTATACTTCTGATCACTTGATCGTCTGTGTAGATATTTATGGAGTTAATACGTAGTCACTGATCACCAAAAGTAACCACTACTGTTTTCTATTCAGTATTTTGTCTTCACTGGTGTGCTGGCAATGGTGACTTGTGCAGTCTTTCTTCGTCTCAACTCTGTCCTGAAGCTGGCAGTACTTCTCATCATGATTGCGATCTATTCTCTGCTGACTGAGACCATTTATGCTTCCCTTTTTCTGCAATATGACAACTTTAACCACAATGGAGAGTAAGTGTTCACAGCCCCCTCTAGGAACTGCTTTTTAATAAGGTAATAGGTCAAGTCTTGCCAGAGTATACACATATAGGATAGCACCATAGTTAAGTATGGATTGATGGTTGCAAGAGGCAATGACTAATCCAAAAAAACTTACAATGTGATTCTTTCTCAGGCCTTTTTATTAAAATGTTTTTTTCATGAAGACATTTAAATATTGAGCAGGGTTTGTCTTTTATGTGTCCCATAGTCTATCCATGTTGCTAAAAATATGCATTACAAGTGCATATACATTGATTGCTTCTGTTCTTGAAAACTCCAGAGATGATGATTGAAACTCTCACCTCAATTTAAGAAAACAGGAGTGAACAATTGATTTTTTAAGGACAGGGTTTTAACTGAATAAAATTCAAACTATAACGTGCAGTTGTGAAAGATACAAGGAATACAAGCATGATCCCATTTTGTAAGAGTGCATTTGAAGGACAGACTCATCCTCCCAGGCTTCCTTACCAGCAAGAGGATTTGAAGAGGAGGACAGAAGAGCCACAGTAATTTGCAGAGTCAGAGGTGCACTAAGTGTTGCAATAACTGAATCTAGAGCAGCAGTGATTTAGCTCATTCAGAAAAACACTTATTCAATGTTCGATACTTGACCAATTTAGTATTGCAGTTGCTTGTGCTTGTAATTGCGTGCCAGATTAAGATCCTCAGAATGACCGAAAAGCATAGATTTGCAGTACGATTCGTTCTCACAACAGCCACATCTTTACACATAGTAAGGCTCTGCATGCATATCTTTCCTTGCTAGCTTCCTACAGTAGCAAGGTACTAAAGATTTGGGATGCAATTCCTTTTTCTAATGCTAGTTATGTTCCTACAGACTAATGATATGACATATAGCATATTCACGGCAGAGCCCAGCAAATATGACAAATGGCAGTAAGCAATACTTTGGCTAAGTAACTAGAAGTAGAAATCATGATCATTGTCTTTAATTTTTGTCATTAATCAAGCATGACAAAGAAAGATTCTCCCTTATGTGAAAATCTTAGAGAATTCAGAGAAGTTTCTATTCCCTGTGTCAATGAAAGTCTTTAGTGACTTTTATCACGGAAGAGTGAGAAAAATCCAGGAATATCCTCTAGAGTAGCTAACAGCCTAGGACATAGGGAACTCAGCTGAGGTGCTCCACTCTCAGGACAAGGACCTGAACTTCAGCTCTGACATCAGGGAGCATGAGGTTCAAGGCTGTGTGCCCAGAAACTTATATGTTTTCTTAGCTATACTAATTAGTTGAATAAAAGGTTTTGCAACTCCCTACAAAACTCACTAGCTCATATATTTGTGGCTATAGCTACATTTCCACAATATGCAATAACAGATGAGTTCATAACTAAGACCTCTGAGGCTGTTGCCCTTAGCCAGTGTACAAGGGGTCCTTCTGGAATGAAATCTTTGGGAGGTTGCATTTCAGACAACTTCAAAATGGGAAACATTTGAATTCCAAAATATTTGCAGATGACAAAGATGTATCCTGCCTTTTACTCTATACTGATGACTCATCCCTTAGTGGTACATTTCCTCGCAGTAAATTCTTCGTTAGGCCCACAAAGTCAGTTCAGTTAGCTCTCTCACAAGAAAGTTTCCTTTTGGTTTAGTCTCCATCAAGGTCTGCTCTTTCTCTCTCTAATTCCTCTGTCATAGGAGACCTCCTCTGACAAATATTACCTGATTTTTTTTTTCAAAATTGCTGTGGAAAATGGATTCAGGGTCTGGACTTTGCTTTATTCTTAGACCTCAGGGTAGACAGAAGAGTTTCCCAAAGTCTCTTCCAACTTCCGCTCCTTGTTTACTCCTCTATTAACTTTTTTCACAACTTCAACCTTTAAGCACCTCTTAACAATTTCCTCATCTTTCCTCATCTCCCTTCAACAAAATTATTGCCAAGTATCCATGTTCAATTCACCTCCAAATTTAGTTCTTTCTCCCTTTTGTTTTACTATAGGATTGGCCCTACCAGTTCCCCAACCTCTTCATTTATGTCTTTTCCCCTGGGAAACATGCCTTTTTAAACCCCCCTGATATTACAGAGGTGATACTCACTTACTTCAGTTTTGTCATCTTTCCACATAACTGTAATTTCTCCTCATATGTGAAACCCCCTTTAACTGCTCTGGATCCCTTTCACCTTATTTTGTCACACTTTCTTCATGCTCCACACACGGCATCTCAGCGATTTCACACAGCAGATTTCCTACAGTCGGTATCTTCTTGGCTCATCTTCTTTGCTTCCCTATTGTCTACAAGAGTTTCCTTTACTTCCTCTGTCATAGGCAGACATTTCTTCTCTGTGCTCCTCCTTATGGCTCAGTAAAACCAGTCCTAAGTACTGTTTGCCATTTTTTTTATTCCCCTTTGATCCACACCTCCTTCTTTAACTCACCTGCCATCTTCTCTGAACCTTTCTCAGTATATGGGGCTGTTTAACTTCCAGCACCTGCCTTGGGATCCATCTTTTATCTCCAGACCCATTCACTGGGCTTTTACTTTCACAATCTGGAAGTTTCCCTTCCCCAGCTCCAGCCTCAACATTTCCCCTTCCAGATCCCACCTCCTGTACTCCGCAGGGGCTGCGGTGTTCATGGTTGTTTACCAAGCTCCAGGGAAAAGAGAACGACTGACACACAGCTTGCATACCGCATTTGAAAGAGAAAGATCATCACCTACAATTTAGTTATTTAATACGTTTGTCTCCAAACAGTGAGCACTCTAATTACACTCCTGTTCTCTTGAACTAATTATTGCTAAGTTAAATTTTCCAATACAGGGGATTTTTTAAAGAACAACAAAAAGTATTAGGGTGCATTATGAAATGAAACATCTGAACAATTACAACAATGACAAATCAATAACTGTATTTTACTTTGGATTTTTTTTCCAGCACAGACTTCCTGGGTACAAAGGAGGCATCTTTACTACTGATGGCAATGTTCCTTTTAGCCGTATTTTATCATGGTCAACAGGTAATGCAAACATTTGCTTTAACCATTCCCTATATTACTTGCAATTGCAGGATGTGACAATAATTACTTTCAAAATACCAACTGCCTTTTTATCCACTTGAGCATATGACCTTTAACAATTTAATAAACCATATGCAGAATCTGATTAAAGAAAGCCCACGTCTGACACTGCCTAGCATTCTTAAAGAACATGTGCAATATTACATTCAGCAATACGCAAGTTATATTGCATTCTCTAATAGAAATTGAAGGAACAAACAGGACTTCATTTATCTTAGGTACATGTATAATTCAGTGGCATCTGACTGCCTCAGTGCACTTGAGTAGGCACAAAACCAAAATGAAGAAAGGGAATAACAAACAGTAAATAATAAAACTCCCACGAAATAGTTTAGTATGTTCATAGCGGAAAAACACCAGATTTGAGGAAATGAGGAAAATTTGCAATTAAGCACCAACACTAACTTCTTTGGGTCATGGACCACTTGCAAGAATTCTTTCATGTGGACCTAGATCATAACCAGAATTTGGAGCTGTAGGACTGAAATCCTTGAGGAGGAACTGAGAAAACAGGTATTTCAAGAATCCATACACAGTGCCCAGGGAGAGTGAAGTATGACAAATTAAGATTTAAAACAACAAATGCATTGAGTAAAAGCCACCTAAAGCAGGGTGTTTTCTCCAGCACTTCTGTCCGGCAACCTCTAGGCTGCTGTATGTCAAAAATGCTGACTTCAGGCAGTTCCTGTTCACATAAAGGCAAACGGGACCTCTGCATTAAAGGAAGCAGCAACCACATTGCCTTTAGACATCATCCTGCATGTTCAACTTGCTTAAAGATTTTCCCTCCAGGAGCATTAGGGTGATTAACACCAGCATTTCTCAATCCTAATTTGAGTGAGTCAATAAGAGAGGAATGTTGCTGTGATGAATAACACAATATTATACACTTTATTACAATATTATAACAACTTTATAAGCTGTGCAGGTACCTACAGGCTCCATTCCTTCTATGGAAGAGCAAAAAGAAGGCAAGACCTAAATTTCTAGTAATTTTCTTCCTTTTTTTCTTCTTTTTGAGGAAATGAGGAATGAGTGAGTAGGGGAAGCAAGGGATGAAATGTGCTTTGTGCCCAGACGTAAGTTTGACGGAAAACAATGATGTACTTTGACATATCTTTATCAAGACATAAAGCCCATTTAGGAAAAATATGCAACAAATAAGAACTGAACATCCCAAATTTGTGATAAACCTTATAATATTCCCAATGATTCTTAACATATGCAAAGATACATATCTAACGTTTGGGAATGGTCTAAAGTGAGAGTAAGTACTAAGAAAGAAAACACTGAAGGATTTTAGGTAGAGCAAGGATCAGGCAGAATCCAGGCAATGCTCCTCAGGACCAGAATTCTGAGTGTTAGTGTCTGTCTTCTACATAAGCCTGATCTGGGGTGTTTAAGAGTATTTTCCAGCCCAGAGGCCTGTTAGCACAACACAGTCTTGTCCTGGTTTCACTGGGATAGAGTTAATTTTCTTCCTAGTAGCTGGTACAGTGCTGTGTTTTGGATTTAGTATGAGAAGAATGTTGTTAACACACTGATGTTTTCATTATTGCTAAGTAGTGTTTACAGTATTAAAGGACTTTTCAGCTTCCCATGCTCTGCCAGGTGCACAAGAAGCTGGGAGGGAGCATAGCCAGGACAGCTGACCCAAACTGGCCAACGGGGTATTCCGTACCATATGACGTAATGCTCAGTAAATAAGCTGGGGGGAGTTGGCTGGGGAGCAGCAATCGCTCGAGAACTGGCTGGGCATCAGTCGGTGGGTGGTGAGCAATTGCATTGTGCATCTCTCATTTTGTATATTCTATTATTATTATTATTATTATTTTCCCTTCCTTTTCTGTTCTATTAAACTGTCTTTATCTCAATCCACGAATTTTGCTTTTTTTTCCGATTCTCTCCCCCATCCCACTGCAGGGCAGGGGAGTGAGCGAGCGGCTGTGTGGTGTTTGACTGGCTGGCCGTTTATACCCAAAGCATTGGTCAGCAGGTGGTGAGCAATCGCACTGTGCATCACTTGTTTTGTAAATTCTTCTATCGTTATTATTATTTTCCCTTCCTTTTCTGTCCTGTTAAATTGTCTTTGTCTCAACCCACGAGTTTGACCTTTTTTCCGATTCTCCCCCCCATCCCACTGCGGGGCAGGGGAGTGAGCGAGCGGCTGTGTGGTGTTTGACTGGCTGCCATGTTAAACCACAACAAGTATTTTTCCATCCTAGTAATCTTCCTTTTTCCATAAAACAGGGTGGCTGCACTCAAACTACCCTTGGAAATGGTCCCTGAGATGTTCTCCTGCATGTTCTCCCAAACGATTCATAGGACCACTCTGTCAATTTGACAATATCCAATGGCAGTGCCCAGGAACATTTCCTTGTATTGCTTAATTTCCTATTATAGAGTTAACATAGAGGTCTCTGTATAAATACAAACTAAAAATATATATAAAAATTTTGTCCAGAGCACATTAAAAAAAAAAATCGCTTCAATAGTCTGAATTGATAGGGAACACAGTAAATCCAATGAAGTTATCCTCCAGCACAGTTTTGCTTCTCACAAACTGCGAAAGTATTCTGAAGAAGAATAGCTTAAAACTTGCCTCATTCTAGGTGGATTTACAAAAAAGATTACTTTTGTAAGATCAAGCTTATGGACCTTTAATTTCTGAACAACTAACTATCGTTCTTTATCCATAGTGATTTAAAGTTAATCCCCACTTTTGCACCCAGAATTTTAAGTTAGATTCAAGAAAAAGTCTGTTCAAAATCAGACTCAGAACTTTCTTAAAATCTTACCTGTACTTCAGCCAATAAATCTCGAGGGTCTCTGGTGCTAAACCCATAATTAAAAGTAGCTGTGTTACTGTTACATGACATCAGGCTAAATAAACTAGTTCCCTATTAGAAATTTAATTTCATCTAGAAGGACATCTTTTTAACACGAGTAATACATATTTTACAATAGTGTTTCTGCAAACTAAACTGTGCTGAGAAAAAGCACATGACAGATTGTTGTGGATAATTTCGAGCCTAGACTTACTCTGTTCTAAAATGTGTTCATTTACTGCTTTATCTTTTTAATGAGTTAAATAGAACATTTTGTATGAACATAAACTATCCCTCAAAACCTTATCAAAATACAATACCACATACAGTCTTCTTTACTAGAAATACATCTCTAGTGAAAACACACAATATAAATATCCTATTAACCTTGAGTGAAACCTTCTGCCATGGCTTTAAAAGGGAAGGTTTTAACAATTGCAAAGAGGGAATAAAACTGCCCACAGCAGACTCAGTCCCTCCTCTCCCTCCACCCCAATTAGATGTAAAAAGAGGTCTTACAAAACAGAAGGCAAAATCTTCTCTGGTTTCTTTTAGACTGTAGATCCGAGTGTAGATCTTGCCTGCACCAGATGAGTGGTCTTGAATTTTGACAAGGCAGGCACAGACAGCTATGTACCTAATTACCTCTGGATGTCAGGGCTGTAGCTTAGCTCTACAGAGCCTTGTGGGAAGGGAAGAAGGACTGACATCCCTACACAGCAATTTATCTGCAACAAACACAATGCCCTGAACCTTCTTCATGCTTGGGAAAAAGGGGAGGAATGAGGAAATATGAATAGGAGATTTTTCCAATTGAAAGAGAAAAGGAAAGGAAGAGTAATACCTAATTCTGGTATTATGCTTCAGGTCTCTTCATTATCCTTTCTATATTCAGATTTTAGTGTAGTGAAGAAAGGATATTTGCTTGTTTTATCTGGAGTTAGACTTTTTCCAGTGGTTGAAAGTGTCCCTTTGGGATGTAAATCCTCTTTTCTCATTCTCTAAGGAAGAATATTCTGCCCCTCAAACACTGATCCTTACCTTGTGCTTTCCTTGTATGTGGCAATTGTCTGCAGAGAGGTTGGGTTGTACAGCATTTAGAGGACATAGGTAGTGTTAGGCTTTCTGTGTAATACATCTTCTCTATTTTCTTCACTCACTATTGGAATTAGGGGTGTTTTGTAGAGCTACATATTAGGACGAGAAAACCTGGACATTTCAAGATCTATGCTGCAGTTATTTTTATTGGCACCACTGTGCCCAGGAACATTTCTTTACACAATCAAAAGATAAACCCCAAACTCAACCCTATAATTTTGTTAGTTTTAACAAATATCAGAACTTAACAAAGCATTGTCTTAAAATTTTCTATTTTTAAACCTCATATGTAGTACGCCTTTTATCTCTGAACTGACAGTGTCATCTCAGTTGTCCACTGACGATGCAAGAATATTTCATGCTTCAATGTGATGATAAATAACCAGAATGATGTTACCTAAAATGTAAAGATTAGCTGCTGCTATTCTGAGCTAGGTTTAGAGATGTGAAGTTTTCCTGTACAGCAGCATAAAAAATCAGCTGTGAAAAAACGTACAACAGTTTTTTGCAAAGCTCTTATTGTAGTGGCATTAAATGTCTGAAGCATCAAAGAACTCAGAATCCACCAGCAGCTCCTGCTCCAAGCTAATCTGTAAAAATACCTTTAGAATTCCTTGCAAAATTATAGTCAATGTTGCCTTCGCAGCCAGCTGGTAGAGATAAAAGTCAGTTATGATCTGGTATGGGCTCTGTCTTCTAGCACAAAAGGAAGGGGGAAGGAAACTGAAAAATGTTGGAAAAAATTATTTTAAAGTACTTTTTCCTAACAGGTTATTTTGGTGCAGTTAATTTAGGGAATTAATAGTCACAAGAAGATCTTCCACAAGAAGTGGAAGAAAAGAGACTAATTGCTTATAAAGGTAGCAGTAGCATCCAGAGGGCAAGTAAATCACTGCTAAAATGCATACAAGCTTTGGAAGTTTATATCAAGCCAGGGTCCCTTTTAGCTTTTAGGAAAGAAAGCTGTCTGGAGTACAGTCAACCTATAAGGCCCCTTGCAAGGTGCTTTGCGTTTTTTTCTGAACAGTTTGCCATTGGTTACTGCCGGTGATGAAAAATGTGGACAAGATGAGTCACTAAACAATGCCTGAACCCCCTCTTAGTCACTCCCACCCACTGCAGGCTTGCCTTTTACCTCAGCTTGGTACATGAATTATAACCCAACCACTTCCTTAATCCCAGCACCTTTTGGCAAACCATTTGATATCTCTCCCAATTGTAAAATGCATTTATTTGCTGGTATAACACATTTCTCTGCTGGGTGTTTGATTATTATCTCTGGTGAGAACATTTCAAACCTCACAAATATATTTGCTCTTTCAGTTTACTGCACACAGGTGGATTTCCATGATTTTCAATAAGGCTGTAGCTTAATAAGTCACCCCTCGTGCAAACTACAGTATCACCTGCCTTAAAATGATTAAAACTCTCCATCAGTGTAATGCACCCAAAAGTTCTGGCAGTGTTGGTCTTGTCCATCTGACAGATGTGCCTCTCACGCAAACAACGTGATGTTTCGACATGTTCCCCGCTTCAGCTAGCAGACAGTTGCCGTTTATGTATATGAATATGTATTTTTATATATATATATATATAAATACAAAATACATATATATATGCATATATAAGCTGTGCTGTGCAGGAATCTTCCTTCTGTTCTGTACACATACAGCGCTGAAAACCATTTAACTTTGGTTTTTAGCTGAGGGTATCAGGCACTGCCACTGTGCACGTACTAAATTGTGACTGCAGGCTGGATCCACAATACATCAGGGACAGAGTATTCGAGGCGGTATCAAAGAACATGTCTTTCACTACCTTTTAAAAGACTTAAGTTGCAAATAACTGCATGTCCCAACAGTAGGAAAACCTCATTTTGGTGCCACAGATTTGAAAGTCTTCTTTGGGAGTGTGTTGGGCTGTTATATATAGTTTTGCTGAAAGACACTCATCCTTGAGAAGTAAACTACCTGTCTCTGAAAAGTGTTTAGAATGACCCTTGTGCTATTTTCTCATGGAACCCATTTAATTTGAAAACACATATGAAAAGGGGAACATATTTATTTGATACCAATACCAATATCTTCCAATACCTTACCTCCTGTCTGACTCCATTATCTAACTAATAAAAAGGTGTTTAAAAGGAAAATAATTTTGTGACATTTTCTAGCCACTGACCGTAGCAGTAATATGACAATATTATTTTGCCCAAGATTCCTCTGAGACACTTACCATGCAGAAGGCAAAGAAATAATCCCTGTTTCTGGCAAGGAAATAAAATTCTTTCAGTGTCAAAGATCTTCAGCAGCTCTGAAGGCGGTTACATGGCAGGAGCAGCCTGCCAGGATGACAATACAATGTTTACCCTTATCTTGTCAGGTTTTATTTTTGCCTTTTTTTTCTTTCTGGAACTACAGCTTGAATACACAGCAAGGCTGGATTTTCTTTGGCGTGTTCAAGCAAAAGAAGAAATCAATGAAATGAAGGAGTTAAGGGAGCACAATGAAAATATGCTACGGAATATTTTACCCAGTCACGTTGCCCGTCACTTCCTGGAGAAGGATCGGGATAATGAAGTATGTATCGGTTTTATTTCTGATACTTTTGTCTAGTTAGCAAAAGAAAAGCAGATCTGTTAGGAAATTGTTAGAACTTAGCTCTTGATAAGATTCTTTACACAAATACTGCCAATATTTCGTATCTGACCCACATTAAAAAAAACATTCGTGTTTTAAAGTAAAGGGTTCTGCACTTCTAGGACCACATCTGGAGTGGTGTTCCCGGGTTCAGGCTCACCAGTAGGAGACATGTAGACCTACCAGAACCAGTCTAGCGAAGGGCCACCAAGATGATTAGAGGCACATGACATGACAGAGGAGAGGCTGAGAGAGCTGGGTTCATTTGACCTTAAGACGAAAAGGCTGAAAGAGGATCTCATCACTGTCTTCAACTACCTAATGGCTGTTTATAGAGAAGACAGAGCCAAACTCTTCTCCAACGTGTAAGTGAAAGGACAAGAGGCAATGACACAAGTTGCAGGAAGAAAAATCCCTGTTAGATACAAGGGGGAAAAGATCCCTGGGAAAATGGTCATTGCATTTGGGTTCAGAGAGATTGTGAAATCTCCAGTCTTAGAGATATTCAACCCTCAACCGAACAAGGCCATGAGAAACTTTGTCCAAATTGGCCCTGCTTTGAAGGGGGAACTGTATTAAATAACCTTCAGAGGTCCCTTCCAACCTATGAGTCTATGAAAATCTAGTATTCCTAAAAAAGATGTGCGAATTTAACAGAATGCCTGTGCAACCTTAAGATAGCCCAGTGCTGTGGAAGTATTATTACAGCCCTGCCAGTTATTATGGAAGGAATCTGTGCAACAGGCTGCAACAGACCTGAGCCTTTCACATCTTCAGACCCAAGAGAACATTTTTACCATTTCATATTGCCCCTGAATTGCCTCTTTGGGACAGTTAACGAAATACCCATTTCAGAAACATAGTTTGTGGCTACGTTCCTAAAGAGTGTTTGTAGTACACAAAGAAAAGCTTGATAATGGAGTCTCTGGATATTCCTAAGACAGAGTTTGAAGGTAGTTTGCTGACGGGATAAAGGAAAGTCCCGAATTTGTTTCTGAAAGCAGCAGTAAGTCACTTACTCCTTAACTGAAATAAAGCAAATGTGTATTATAATAAAGGTGAATAAAGGCCATTGTATGATGAAACGGGAATTTTCTCATGTAATGTTGGAATTATGTTTTATAATGAAGAGGTTACAAATGTTGCAAGATTCAGGTTGCCAGCACTGACATATCTATTCATTGTGCAACAAAAAGGAATCAAGGCTACCCTTTTCTGATTGTACATTGTGGAAATAGATGTAGCCAGAAAAATTAGACTGCACAATGAGGAATCATTATGTTCTGCAGATGTAATTTCAAATATCACCTAGGGAAGGACGACATAGTGAGAAGCTACAAGAAAAGGCACTTTAGAAATCAGCCTCTCGAGAAATTTTACACTCTGTGGGTATTAAACTGTCATAAAAACACTGCTCTGCACATGAGAAAATGTGTGTGTGAAATCAACCAAGTTAAAATGCTTCACTGCAAATGGAGCAGGTCCCGATACCAACCATGAGTGTGTTCTGGAATATCTGCATTATGGATTTTCAGGGAATACATGTCCTCTCTACACATTCATTCACATACACTCACATGCATAACAATCTTCAAAAGCAAACAGATGCCCCATGGATCACTGCTGATGCTTCAATAATTTGCCACTGAATTAAATTCCACCACCCCTGCTTTTTGTAAGGCAATTTCCAGGGTGACTATACTTGGTGATGATTTATGCATGAGCTGGCTGGCTGTAACATCTATCAGATTTCAGTACAATCAATCCTGCAGTTCATGTCTGGCCATTAAGTTAATTTCTCTGCTCTCAAAAAATGAATTCCCAAATGTGTACTGTAAGTGTTTTCTCATGGATGTATTATTTCTGTCTTGATGCTTCGTACCAAAAATAGAAAAACTGAGCAGCTGAAGGCTCAGCCAGTTGTTTTCTGTCTTCACGATCTGAGGAAAGAATGTGCCTGAGTGTATGTATCCTTCTCCCAGCACATACTGTCTAGTCTTCCATAAACATCCACAAACTAATGAGTGTATTACTTTTTTCTATACCTATGAACAGGAGTAAGAGTGTCCTTAGAGTACGGCTTCCATGACCCTGCAGATATTCTTCAGTGAAAGAAAGTGTAAGAGCAGGAAGGGAATCAATCATGTTTTTTCTCAATCAAAGCTTTGCAGTGTCCTTGGAAACTAGCAGAATTTTCCCACTTTTTCTGTAGGATACATTGTTAAAGAGTCTAGGTAAGTAGCAGCATTAGCAGCACAGAAAAGTGCAGGGCAGGGGTTCAGGGTGCTTTTCTAGGGAGAAGCAGGATGAAGGAAGAGGAGCCTGAGGTGTTCACGTTAGATGTATGGCATCCAGCAGTAAGTCCTTTCATCATGAGAGCAAAGCACTAAAATTTCCTAAAGCACACTAACAAGAACATTGAGAAGCAACTACTCCAGGTCAGAATACCGTAACAGAAGTCCCAGAACAGAAATGAAAGTATCGGCCATTGCGTAAAACTACAGAAGTTGAAGCTAGAAAAAAATTAAACAAAAGAAAATGCATGTGCTTGTGGTATATTAGCCACTAGAAAAGCATACCATTGGCTATGTCCTTGGTATTTTTAAGTTGAAATTAGTCTTGTTCCTAAAAAATTGTTTAGGTTCAGAGAACTGACTACATTTTCACATACATAATCACAAGAACCCATCCATAAGTAAATCTGACATTCGGTACCAGAGTGAATTATATGAATAACATAAATGGAAGCTTATCCCAGGCATACTTTATCCTAACAGCTTCCTGTGTCCGATCCCTTATAAGCTGCTTTCTGTCCTCAGTAACTCCGTTATCACCCTCAGTTCTGTTTTTCCCTCCTTTCCAACCCTAATAGCAGGAACCTCTCCCAGAGCCAGGCAACCAAACAGCTCCAGAGTTACCTTAGGAGAACCACAGTTTACTACAGAGTAAGGCTCTCTGCAAACCTGTGGATAAATAAACTTGTAAAGAGCTGCAGTAGTGTGAAGTATAAATTATCCACCAGAAAATGTGGTAACTGAGAGGACTCTTTACAAAGAGGTCATATTAGACATTTTAAATGGTCCCATCTGATTCCTGTTAATCAACAAATTTAGAAACATATTGTCAACTGCAAACATTTATGCGACAGACTTAATAATAAATAATAAACATTAGGTTCCTTTTGCTTGCCTAAGAGTGTTTGATTCTCTGGTATTCATACTTGCAAATGAATGCTTCATTTCTTAAAGTGGTTCCCCATATAAATCAAAATGAAAAATTCTATTTCATTTTTGCTGGTGTAGCCCCCTGACCTCAGAAGCCGAAAGAGCAGGCTTACAAAGAAAGGGCAAACCCTGCATACAATCTGTGATAAGAACGTGAGAGGTGTCAGCCTCCTCCTGTTGAACTTGGCTAACACTTAATATACTAATGCTCACCTCAGATATTAAGGTATTATGCATGGAAAAAATAATAAACCTATTTTAATTGCAGCCAATTGCATTCTCTTCCCTATATTACCACTTAACTCATTTTTTTTCATTGTTCTTTTAGGAATTATACTCCCAGTCCTATGATGCTGTTGGTGTGATGTTTGCTTCTATTCCTGGATTTGCTGACTTCTATTCCCAGACAGAGATGAATAACCAAGGAGTAGAATGTCTGCGCTTGCTGAACGAAATCATTGCAGACTTTGATGAGGTAATACCAGCTACTAGAGGAAATCTGATAGTGCTTAAATGACGAGTTCCCAAATACCAAACATGTCATCCTAAATTATCAAATTTAGTAACTATTCTGCTTCCAGTAATTGGCTGATTTTTTTACTCCAATTACTATTACAATTGTCTATTTTGCTTTTTTTGCACTTAGTCTTGCCAAACTTTGGTCTGAATGACCTAGTGAGATAGAGACTGAAATCATTAGTTAACTTGAGTATAAACATGCAAAAATAAAAGCACAATCTGCTCCAGTGTATCTAGAAGTAGAACATGCCTTAATTCTGTAGGAGAAAGAAGGATGAACATACTTGCAACAGTTCTGGAAAGTAGTGGTCTAAATCCAAACAGATAAAGATACTCTTTTGAAGACATTGGTCGAATGGACTCAATGAATGTTAAGGGTAAAACAGTGTCAAGTTAAATGTGAAGCACACAGCTCAGAATCAAATGTTGGGTAGAAAATTAACGGAGGAGACTTGGCTGGTCAGGTATGCTATGCAGAGGTAAATGAAGTAAAGCTGCTTAACTGAGGAATTCAGAGGTGAAGGGAAATTTTTAAAAAAATGGAAAGGACATAGAAAGGAAAAAGAATTTATTTAGGTATCCTGTCCAGTTAATTTCAGAAAGGGAGTTGAGGAGGGGATAAGATAAACAGGAGAAGAAACGTCAGATCCCCAATGTAGCTATTGCCAGGTGAAAGCAAGGAAAAATTGGAAACTGAAGAGGAGGTCAGGAGCAAGTTGCATGCTTGGTATTGCATACTCTGCCAACGAGTTAGAAAAGAAGACAAAAAGGCATACTTAGTCGTTGCATCTGGACCAGGATTCTGCCCATAGATTAAGGATACAGAAAACTTTTTTCCAGAAAAATAAAGCATTGTCAGAGTTCAGACCTCTCCAGGGTTTAGAATACAGCTGAATAAAGATTTAAGAATCAGTGTCATTTTTTTGTAAATTTATTTAGTTTTACCTCAGCCCTACTTTAAACACCTACCTCTCTTTGAGGATCTAGCCTAGAGTTTTTGTTTTGTTTTGGGATTTTTGCTTTGAAGATCAAGTGTCTCCAAGGGCTTCAGAGGAAGGTGCTGGAGGAAAAGATGAAAGTGGAAGGCATATGACTGAGAAAAAGAGATTAGGAAAAAAAAAATATTCTTTTCCTTCCGCCCCCCCC